ATATATATATATACACACACATATACACACACACACACATATACATACATATATATACATACACATATACATATATATACATACACATATACACACACACACACACACACATATATACACACACATATACACATACATACACATGGAAAATATGTCTGGCATTTGTTGTAATTATCTTTTGTATCATATGATACAAGAAATCCCCCTATGCTCTATATACAACCAATCAGCTCCATCTCTCACTCCTGCTTTATCCTCTCCTTATACCACTCTTGGAGCAGAGGGATTGCGTGTTGATATCTATCTGTCTTTCAGACTTGACCTAGGAGGGGAGCAGGATTTTTACAGAGACCTTGTATCTGGGTGATTGACAGCTGTCCTCTCCTTATACCATTCGTGGAGCATAGAGGGATTGTCATATAACACAAAATCCCTCTGTGCTCCAAGAGTGCTATGAGGATAGGACAACTGTCAGTCACCCAGATACAAGGTCTCTATAAAAACCCTCCTCACCTTCTAGGTAGAGTCTGAACTGAAGGGTTGGTGAGGAATTTGGGCCTCTCAAAGATATGGAGTACTCTGGATTGGAAAGGGGCCTGACATTGTTATCTTTGCTGGGTTTTTTCTGATTTACAAAAGATTTATTTGAATCAGATTATTTTTGGTTTTGCCAGCCCCCTTTGAACAGGTCCTGCCACCAAATATTCTCCTTGTGCAGTTTTTCATTGCCCCACTTCCTTCCCAAGCCATAGCTCTGACACAGTGTAATGTTGTATGCATTTGATCTGGGAAGAATGACAGAGCAGGAATCACCTCCCTTTCTTCAGCCATGAAGTGCAATGCAGACATGCAGCACTACAGAAATAAAAGTTATTGGCTTTATGGCATTAGAGGCTGAACGTGTGGGTCTGTAACATTTCCATTTTACTCAGATTCTGCTTTAAAAAAGAAAAAAAGAAAAAAAAGATCCTCTGGACTTCTCACTGAAATTTTCATTTGATAATAATCCAGGTCCACAGGCTCACCACCTTAATTTTAAGGGTATAAATCAACTATCACTTGGGCACAAGGGATTTCCTAAGTATATAGGCATCTTTACCCATGCTCTGGGGCAGGGTGGGGTGGCCACTCTAATTAAAGTGCTTGCAGTGTCTTGTGTATTCAGCATCCTGCGCTTCAACATGGCAATGGGGGAGCTTTAATTACTGCTCGTTCAAAGAGACTTAGTTAAAAACAACCTTTAGTTAAAGTGCCCCTGCCACCATTTTGAAGCACGGGGAAGCAGAATACATGAGATGCTGAGGCTGCTGGAGCTAATTAGCACACGGTGGAGCAGGCATCGGGCAGGTGCTCTAAGTGACCACCTGATGTCCCTCAGCTACCACTCAGACTGTCCACTTTTCTTACTCCATTATTAAATCCCTCAAAAAGGCCTTCACTCAAATCACTATTGTTGTACTACTTCATGTGCCTAGAAATGGGATCTGAGGATGTACTGATAAATGGTTAAAAAGGTTGCCTAATTTCACTGCATGTGTTGTAGATGGTCTCCATCTCTCCCCCTCCTCAGCCAAAATGCTATTTGACAATTTTCTGCAGCTGTGCTCCTTGGGAAAGCATCCTATAGTATCCTTTAGCACCACTTCCAGCAGCAACAGTATGTTAGGAGGATTATTCATTGGCATTTCTGTTGGTAGGGAAAAGGAGTCCACTTAAGATATTTAGTCATGGCCCTAGGTTGCTTTTCAGCACCACCCATGTATCTTGCAGAAAGGAAAAATAGAAATGCCTATCCTGCACTAACCAGAGTGCAGTGAACCCTTTGGGCACTACCTGCCCCCACAGAATGGTCTCATTTATTTGAATCTGAATCCCCCCAGCATCACAGTACCCAATTAAACCTCTCAGACCCACCATCTGCATCCAAGGAATCATCACACAGAATCACAGCAATTAGAGAAGGAATTTACTCTTACAGTCCCACTCCCCAGCTGCTGCAGGATCCTTCCTATAGGGATTTTTAATCTTTGGCCAGTCTAAATACCACAAGGAACTAAAGCTCACATTGCTTCCCTAGAAAAACTATTCTACAGGCTTATCCTTGTTAGCCTATTTCTCTTCAAATTCACTCTTTTCTTCCTCTTAATTTCATCCAGTTATTCCTAGTTATACCCTTTTGTACATTCTCTTCTTCCTCACATTCCAACATTTCTGTGCTTTCTTAGACTCTTAAAAATCCAAATGTGTATAATTAAGTTAAAATATCAGTCAGACCTTCCAACTTTGCAGTTATTTTAGTTGGTTTTCTCAGACTTCTCTCCTGTTGCTCTACAACCTATTTTTGGGATGCCCAGAATTGACTGCAGGTGTAGTCATAAGAGTTTTACAGAGAGAGGGACTGCCACCTCTGTGGCACAATGCCTTGGTTTATGCAGCTCACAACTGATCTTCTTAGCTACCACATCAAATGGCAAATTTCTCCCTCATTTAATCTAGACTATCACCCAGGTCTCCTTTGCTTTGTTACCTGATCATAGGCTGAATTATACAAGTAACTGTATGTGAAAATTTAGATTTAAGAGCAATCCCACTAAAATCAACAGGTCTCCATAGGCAAGTCAAATATTTGCAGAGTTGAGACACTGTCATTGCTTCTTCATATGTCTCCCAGTTCCTCACTGGTTTTCAAACTACCTGAAAAGTAATGCAATTAATAGGGGTGCACCGATACAGATTTTTTGGGGCCGATACTGATAGCTGATTTTTAAAGAGGCACATTGGCCAATACCAATCTGATTTCCGATACCAGCTTGGCAGCTTGAAGAGCTGCATATAGCTGGTTCAGGCCTCTACAGTGAGGGAGGAGAGGGGCTGGGGCAAGCACTGCCCAGCCAGGGTGGGGTGGACATGGGACAGAGCTGGGGCTAGTCTGGGGGGCGTGGGGAGGGGCTCTCCAAGCTGCCGGGCTGTGCTCCTCACCGCCTATATACTGCGCTGCGGCAGCATGCATGTACGGACCATTTATTGGCCAAATTATCAGCCGTATCAGGCTGATTTCCAGTACAGACAATTTTCTTTATATTGGTGCTGATCTGATATGCTGCAAGCTCCTTTCCAGCCCTAGGACTTTTTCCAATATAACCACTAGACAAACTTCCTACAACTCAAACCACAGTACTTCATTATTTTATACTGCAGAAGCACTCAAAACATTCTTGGTGTTGTTACAACACATAGGACATGGGAAGCCAAGATGAAGGGGGACTAGTCACCAAAGGCAAGTATTTTACAAGTTTTACTTATGGTATATCAGCCAGTTTTCTGATCTCTCTCAAAACGTGTCCAAGCAAATGTGCGCAACACACTGAGCACTTTCCGCAGATGCTAGTATACTGAAGTGACCCTCCTTTGCTTCAGACTTGGCACTCGTAAACATAGCAACTATTGGTTTTCACCTTTAACATTCTGGGAAGGCACGATCATAGTACCTAGAGGTTGCATGGTTTATAATGACCCTTCTCAGAGCCACCCCAGGTGCACTCAAGTATCCTTCTGCCATATCTATGTAATATATCCACACAATATTCAGGCAACAGCAAGAGCCTTATGCCATTACATACAAATGCAGGGCTTAGAGATCACGCAAGAGAGTTTTAAACAAAACTAAGGAGTGCCTAACAAACCTGGCACCATTCTGGTGACAGAAAAAGAGGATAAGACAAGGAAATCACCAACACAATACAAGGAGCACCAAAATTTTTAACATACATCCACAACACAACCAGATGCTTCTTGTGGCTCTTGCAGTGCAGCCAGGTTTGAATAGAAAAAAAGGGGGTGAACAACCTTCATTATAGGATGGAGATGTTAAGATGCTCTGGACACAAAGTGGCAAGATTTTCAGTATGGCCGAGCACACAAAATTCCACAAAAGAATCAGTGGAAGCTGAAGATGAGCCCAGATGTTACTGCCACCCTAGCAGCATAGAATCACAGAAAATTTGGTTTGGAAGGCACCTCAGGAAGTCATCTAGTCCAACCCCCTGCCCAAAGAAGGACTATCCCCAGTTAGATCATCCCAGCCAAGGCTTTGTCTAACTGGGTCTTACAAACCTCCAGGGATGGAGATTTCACAACCTCTCTGGGTAGCCTGTTCCAGTGGTTTACTATCCTCCTTGCGAGTGTTACCTAAGGGTGGGGAGCAGGGGGACAGTGATACGCTGGTGCCCTGTCCCTGCCCATTCTGTTGCCCCTCACTGCCAAACTACAGCCACCCCAGCCCTGCTGCTACCCCTCACTCCCAACCCACTGACTCCAGCCCTGACAGTGACCCTCATTCCCAAACCGCAGTACCCTGCCCCCCTGGGCCTTGATGGTACCCCTCACACTTGACCTGTACCACCACCCCCATCCCTGCTGGTACCCCTCACTCCTGACCTGCAGCCCCCTGGCCTCCTGCCCTGCCAGTGCTCCTCACTCCTGACCCACAGCCCCCTGCCACCCCAGCTGTCCCTGTGCTGACTGAGCTGGAAGACAGTGGCTGATTCATGCAGGCTGTAGCGGAGTGTGTCCAGCCCCAGTGTGGGCTGGAAGAAAGAGGAGGAGAGGCTTGTGGCACACCCCCACCATGGGATGGGGCTACCATACTGTTCCAGGCAGCCTAGCCATGGCCTCCCTCCCCTTCTTCCCCCACTCCTCCCTGGCCACTCAGCCCCTGAGAACATAGGCACCGGCCCCTGTGCTATGGGCCCAGCCACAGAGTTCCCCGTTGCCTTCAGAGTGCCCCCCCACCCCTTCCCCCCACTGGAGGGCCAGGCAATCTCCTGCCCCCTGTACCCTGTTGCAACCCCAGCCCCCACCCCTCTGCCCTGACCAAATGCCTGGGATTTTGCTTTGGTCCACTGGTAGGAGCAGGGGGAGGGTGATCAGAGGCAGCAGAGAGCACCACATGGGTCTGTGCATACCTCCACAACTGCAGGTAGGTAACATCTGTACTCCCTATTGCCTCCAATTGCCCTCCCCCTATTCCTGCCAGTGGAGCAAAGCAAAATCCTGGATATTTGGTCAGATTTCAAAAATCTATCCGTACAGAGATCAGAGGGCTCAAAGAGAGACCATGTCTCAGAAAACCTGGACGTATGGTAATCCTAGCACAAGAAAACCTTAACTTTCTGTAACAGTTGGTAACTTCACTCACATAAAACAATCCCTGATTTCTGTTGTTTTAATGCAACTACCTCCTTCCTTCCAGCAGAGAGCACTGCAGGACACAGCATCACTGTCTTCTGTGCACTCAGCCCTAAAGGGCTGAGCTTCTGCCTTTGTGTGGCTTCTAAGAGGGCTGTCTCAATACACTCAATGCCGAAATTCAGTAACATGGAGCACTGGTTGTTCTGGCCTACCCCCAACTTGTGCACAGCTTATGCCCCTTCCCCTCACCCCCCAAAACGCTCCCTGTGAGGATTTCCGTTGTTTCTCCTTAATGAGGGTGCTGTTCAGAAGGCTTTTAACGAGGAGCTAATCTGAACCACCTGTTGCAAAATCCCCTGAAGGATTAGAAGCCTACCATGCAGTTAGGTCTCAGATTTATGCAGTATCCAGACCTCAGGGCTAAAAGGAAAGGGTCACTCCAACGTTAGGAATACATAATGTCACTGCAGAGGAATGGGGTCTTGTGCCCACATCTTGGCAATGAAGACTGCTCCCTACCTCCAACAAACTGGCTCTCCTGAGTCCCAAGCAATTTCAGTGTCATGCTGAACAGCTAACATGAACATCCAGAGACTCTCTGCTCAGTCATTCCTGGCACCCCCAAATCCAGAGCACAGTAAGTAGCACAGAGAGGGCCCTGAGCTCACTGGAACCACTTCAATGCCCCACAGGCATCAGTTAACAGCAGTGGACCTGCGCAACTGTGTTACTGATCAGTCAGGTACCACTGTGTTTCTCAGTTTGCACACATTGGGGATTTTTGCTGCTTGGGTATAAACACGTGTCATCTCTCTCCTCAAATGGCAAACTGCTTTGCAGCACAAGAGAATATCACTGACCATGAATGGCATCCCATTCTTCTCTCCACAGACTCCTACCTATGACACAAAGGATGGCTCTTCCACACTTTTACTCAACTTTTCTAGGTCTTTTCTTTATTTTAACCCAGGGGAATTGCACTTTCTGCTCTCCCTTCATACTGCAGGTGGCAGATGTCTAGGACTAGAAGAGACCTGTTATTTAAAATATAAATTCTTACTTTCTAACATAATTATTTATAGCAGTTCTCTGATATGAATCAAGTTTTCTAATTTTCATATGATGAAGTTCCTCACATTGAGAAAAAACACACCCATGTGCAGCTGCATGTGAATTAGAGAAGGATGTCTTTTCTGTGATCCAGGCTGCAATGCCTCTCTGCTTGCAGCACATGAATGTACTAGGTTCCTTTGTGACTGTACAACACTGCTTATTCTGGTTCAATTTGATGGCTACTATCAAGCTCTCTTCCAACATTAATACTTTCTAATTATTCCTTCAGAACTGAATAGGTATGTTTTAGGTTATTTTCCTGAAAGGTAGTCATGTACATTTCTATGCCACCACCTCCTCCTTTCCCCACCCTGCTCCCACACACCCTGTACTCATTTTCAGATTTCCTCTCACCTCCTGCTGGATTGGTTTGATGGGCTGGTGGTCAGACATCCACCTGGGAGAAAACTCTGTCCGCTGCAGACGCTTTTCCTGAAACAGGGATGAAGATGGAGGAAAGAAGGGAGGAAGAGAGAAAGACATGTACTAGGGTACACTGATGATGTGGAGAACTTTTAGATTAGAAGTACCCATGAAGCCATTATTCAATTAATAAATGGACAGCATCCACACAGACCGGCTGCAGAACTGATTTTACAGAGGCAAAAAGTGTCAGGAAGTTGACTCCAAATTTGTCCCATCCTAAAGTAGTTATATCTACATCTAGCCACCACTTCATCAGTGAAAGTCCCACGACCCAAAGACAAGGCTGAAATTCCCCTTAAGTAGGTCCCTACAGAGTGTCTCAGGATCTTGTACTCCTCAAATTGCAGGCAGTCTTCTTTAGTCCTGAGGGTGTTTGATGGCTAGTTTGATTTAGCACCCCCAGACAGCAAATGGCACCATGCAGAGATAAAACAGGCTGTCCCCCACCACTCAGCCTGCTCTCACTCACTTTCTGGGCAATCATGTTGCAGATCTCAGGAAGGAAATCCTCACTCAGGAGTTTGTAGAGCTGCCGTTCTCTTAGGGAGGTCCGCTCTCTGAAGCTCTCTGTGACCTGTCTCCATTCCTCTTCTGTCTGACACAGCAGCCACCATGTCCCACGGCCTGGGCCCTGGGATCCTTCAATGAACACAGAAGGACACTATTTTTGGTAACAATTACTACTGGCAATTTTTCTCCTATCCATACTTTATTTTCCATGACTTGGGAAATGCAAGATATTAATAGCGTACATCCTTCACTATTAGATCATGGCCAGGAGCACAGCACTGTAGTGCCTGTAAAAGGAAGAGCTGCATTGCCATGGCTTCATTCAAAGCTCTTGCTTTTTAGATCTGCTCCACTTTAAAATATTTAAATGGTCACTGAAAGAGGGGGGCGGGGAAGGGGGAGGAGTGAGCATCCTACCCCAGCAGTTACAACCCTACCCAGGATGCAAATCTACTATTTTCCAAAAAAACCCAACCCAAACAAACCCCCCCCTTAGGTCACTAAATACATTGTGGGTTAGAGGTGCTCAGGCATGCACACTGCTATACCACTGCACTGATACCAGGAGACCATGTCTAAAGTTGAAGCCATATAAATTAGTAGTGAATGTTATTCTGCTAAGCTCACAACACTATTTCTGTAGTTTCAGGTTTGGAAGTTTTCTTGAATTCAGAGTGTAGGGAGGTAGCAGTCCAAGAGAGGGAATCTGAACTCTAGAGAAGGAAGAAAAGAGGAGTGGAAAAGACAAAGCCAAAGCTGCCACCATTGCAACAGATCTAACATAAGCAGTATTCAGGCCAAAGGAGTCTCACATTTGAGAAGTGAGGTTTCTGCCCAGCCACTTTGGAGAAAACTACACTGGCACTTCCCTCTTCCACATACTTCATTATTTTTTGAGGGTCAGAGGTATAGGGATCTGAACTCTGAATATCCCTAGTTCATGGTTTATACAGTATTTAGAAGTATAAATTTAAAGTAAACTCCTGAACAGAGATGGGAGAGAAGGAAGGAAAGATTAGAAAGGCCATTTATTGTCCACCCACTGCTAAGTATGCTCATGGCTTTTTCCCTTTGGTATCATCATAAGCAGGATGCATGTCAAAATGTCCCATGTTCCACTCATTTCTGGAAAAATCACCTAGTGTTTCTACACAGCCATTGACCTTATTGGAATAGAGGCGGCCCCCACCACCTTTTTCCACTCTCAGGCCTCTCACAATAAGCCAGTCATGAGTCTTTCCTCATCCTCAAATAGTCCAATACTACAAAGGAAGCATTTAGCTGCTCAGGCTCCTGGGAATAAGCAAACTTGTTACTTTGATTCCTCATTCCAAATACAAATCAGAACCAACTGAGCAAAAGAAACAGGGCACCACTTCTAGAGAGCTTCTCCTCCTCTGGGAAGCTCATCCCTCTAAGCTTTGGGTGTGTGAGAAACTGCACGAGCAATCTACATGACGTCCTTACCATTTCTCATCTGTGTCTCATGCATGAGAAAGTTCTCTTCTGCCTTCTCCCTGAAAGGAGGAAGGAAACACGTAGTGAGGAAATATGAAACACACTCCCAAACACTTCAGCAGCTGACATGCAGCCCCTTCTGGGGAAGAATGCAGCAGAAGTTCCAGGAATACCACCCATCACACAATGGCATGAAATTTTTGTAAAGAATTGAGGTTAAAAGTCTGCCTTGAGGCAAGACTGCCTTGAGGTGGCCACTCTACCACCATGGCTGGAGCATGCCAGCTGAAGAAGGAAGGATTCGGCCAATGGCACACAAGGAAGTGACATGATTAGCATCATGCTTGGCCTCCCTTGACTCTTGAATGGCTCTCAGTTGGGTCAGAAACTTAGATCCTAGTCTGAAGTCTTGAACTCAGACCTCTGGATTAGTGGAAAGATGCTTTACCTACTCTGCCCCTGTGCCCTACTTCAAATGGACAGGGCTAGCATGTGCTAGCAACAGTGAGCCCTTTTACATCATGCTGAGGAACTGAGTCAGTGTATGATCAGGAGGAAGAATCACAACCACTGTTTCATTTGTCTCACACAACTTCCAGCAGCTGCTGCATTGTCTATGGAGCCTCAGACAAGTACCAACCAAGCCTAGGTGTTTAGCAAGAGTAATGCATAGAGGTCATGGCTGCAGAAGAAACTACTATTCGACTCCCAGCTGGAAAAATAATATTTGGGTACAGAAGACATTTAGTACCACAGGAGGTCTTGAGGGTACAGCAGGATTGTTAATGCCAAGTAATGCTATAGAACTTTCTCCCTGAAGGAGCTGCATGCAACATTTCTATTCTAGGAAAGGCCTTTTCATACCTCAATAAATTCTCCTCCAGCAGTTTTTTTCGCTTTGGAGGCCGCCCCCGTCTCTTGCCAGTTTTCCCTGGAATATTTGGGGTGTTCGTCTGTCCCCCACCTCCCCTGGAACACAATGAGAGATTATGAAATATCTCCCGGGGAAGGGAACAGTGGCAAGTAAGGGACACGGAGAGAACAGAATAGTGTGGAGATATCAAAAGAGCTGCAATGAGCCCAGATAGCAGCCAGGAATTAAGTACAAAGAGTGGGAGGGATGGAGAGAGACGGCACTCTCCACTTCCTGGGGACACTAAATTATGAATAGTCAGTGACTTGTAATTGCTACTGAACACCAGGGGCAGACAGCTCAGAAGCAGGCAGCAAGAGTGGCTGAGGAATCTCCCTGCCCTTCTGGCAGGCTTTTGCAATGTCACAAAGGCTGTGTTTGGCTCCAGCTGCCCTGCAGCATGAATTCAGTTAATTGTGTACTTGGCAATCTCCTCCATGCCCTGTACAAACACCAGCTGCTGTCACTCCTTCCGTGACAGCAACAGTCAAGCAGATTCTGTGCAACTCACATTTGCTGTTGCGCAAAGTATTCCTCTCTGCTCGCCCTGCTTTCTCTTCCTCATTTACCAGGGCTTTGTGGAAAGTATGAGTTAGAAGCTGTTACCTGTCCAAAGCCAGCTCTCCATTAGGTTTCGCCTGTGCTGGCTCCTCTTTGTACATGCGAGTGCCATAGAAATACCAGTAGAGGGCGCCATTGCTATCTTCACCCAGTGGTTCAACTCGGAGGCTGTCTGCATCCAAACCCTGTGTTCATCCAGGGAGGGAGACAGTGACAAGTTGAAAAGCAGCCACATTAAATCGCTCAAAACAGGACAAATCCCCCCCTGCACAAACACCTGCAAGGCCCCCTCTCCTTTTGCTCTGGGAAAGATTCAGACGCGTTTTTCCAGTGCTCGCTCTAGGCTTAAATATTTCGTTTTTGCTGCTCAAAACAGCAAAGGCCTAATTCACGCTGTGCCCGACTCCAGCAGCTTGGGAGGCATTGTGCAAACTGCTCCTCCCCCTGATCTCCCAATGCAGTTCAATGCCATCCTGCAGCAGGCTCGCCCCAGGCCCCAGCACTATGCCCTAGCACCCACAGCACTGCCACAACAGTTGGAGCACCTCCAGATATTCAAGCTAGGATCTTTGTAGAAGTGGCCAATCAGGCCAATTGGCACAGCAACTATTATGCTGTGAATACCTCTCACGAGACACCCTACAACTTGTTTTGATTGTGTGTAGTTTAATGACCCACATTTCCAGAGGTGGAACTCAAGAAAATGAAGTACCTGCATGACCACCAAGGACCTGTCCTTAAAAACATTCCTCTTTTTGGGTAGAAAAGAGAATATTACATCTCCAGAGCTGTAAATGTGCAGGCAATGGGAAACCTGCACTCCTCACCAAGAGGTGGCTCAAACTGCTGAATTTAATGGGGGGAAAAAAAGAAAAGGGAGATCCACTCATGATACTTCAAAAGCCAGATTAGGTCAGGAGACAAAGATAAACAGAATATAAAGGAGCAACACTTCCAAGGCACATCTGAAATCCCCACGTATCACTTGTTCCCAGAACAGACAGACTAGAAACGCCACAGTAGTTTTACAGTTTCATAGTTTCTAGGATCTGAAGGGACCTGAGCAGATCATCAAGTCCGACCCCCTG